TGTTTTTCCATGGCAGAACGTATGGCAGAGACTTGGGAACTCGCATGCCTGAAGCCAGGTTACTCTTATGTTCTGTAACTATGCTGGTTGCAGGGCTGCAAAAATAATGAAGAATTTGATTATGCAGGCATATCTGTATTTTTTTCAGGCAGGCACACAGACTACATTTATTTTTTAAATTGGGGAAAACCACCACCTACAATCATCAGAAATATGAACACATTTCAATCAAAACATCCCTACAATTAAAATGATTACCACTTCCTGAAAAGCTCACTGTTCTGTACAGACATTATGATGGCTCTAATAGTTTTCATTTTTCAGAAATTGAGATAAACAGCAATGCCATCTACTGTTCAGCTGCGTGACAGGCTCATCAACTCCTTCAATAAACACGATAAAAAGATGCCAAAACAAGTATACCAAAAGTAGAAACTCTCATAGAAATGAGGTAAAGTTGTATCAATGGAATCTATCTTTAAGTTTTACTGTCATAGTACATATACAAAATAGTTCATATTCATCAACTGACTTCAAGAGCTAAGGAAAAATTGGATAAGGGTTCTATTTGAAGAGTGGAAAAATATAAAGTTTAAAATTGTATTTCTTAATTTTTCAATCCAGAAGTATTTTCACTGAAGTCTGGAGCTTTAACCACAGTTTGAGTCTTGGTGGTAATGAAAAAAATCTTAAATTTTAAATTAGATCCAAATTCAGTGTGAAGAAGAGATGCATTCTCCACCCCCCCAGATATCCTAGATCTTCTAAATTCCAATCAAGAACTTAAAAATGATCTTTCCCCAGACATTAGTTACCGAGAATAAAAATGATACAAGTGGTATTAACTGGAGGATTTTTTAATGCTTTAAAAAAGCATTAAAGTAATGCATTAATAAAAAGCATTTTTTTAAAGCATTAAAATAATATGAACCTAGGGGGCAAACACTATCCAAATAAAAAACCCACAAACAGTCCCACAGACAATGTCTCTTGCCATTTTCTGTCTCTCTTGTTAGATTATAAACAGTGTCTTTTGTACTTGGCTATGGTTAGGAAAAAAGCATGCAACCCTTATATAAATAAGCAACAAAGGAATATCACACACAGAAAACAAAATTTAGGCTAAGTTAGCACCAAGATACTAAATTCATATTTAGGTAGCTTATTTTGGTAGTGCAACATTCTAATTTTGGGAGATAATGTGGGGAATACAACCATGTCATTTACCTGTTATTGCCACAGTAGTTGGCTGTACCCCAGACAAATGGGGTACTGGTCTGTTCCCACAAATCTGCAAAGAAAACAAAACAACAGCTTTCGGTACTATTATAGGTAAGATACCAGTTCATACTAGTTGAATTTTTAAGATGGGAAATAATATATGTAAGTTTAGAGAAACAAGAAAAAACAGATCAAGTATCCTGCCTAAGTGACATAGTAGGAGGAGGAATTTAATTGAAGGATATAAACATAAGCAACATAAATAATAATAAATGTGCCTAGTAACAACCATACACAGATGGTACTACACAATTTATGGGGAAAAACAGATGTAAAGAAGTGCTTTTTCTAATCAAGAAGGATAGGCTGTTATATGTGTCTACAAAGCGATACAAACATGCTCGTTTTGGGGGCCAATAAAAGTAATAAGGCAATCCAAACAACAGGGTATGTTCATAACAAAGGAAAATCTTCCTTCTGTCTTAAGCAAATAACTTGAAATTTAGACACTGTGGAGAAAAAGATGTAGAGGCACTTCACCTTTATCCCAGTCTTCATCACAAGGAGGACACTGCCATGTGCTCTCAGTGAGAGTCTCTTGTCCAAGGTTCCTTGTCTGATTGACTGTAAAAGAAGATTTCAACATTAAGAATGGGATAGCCTAAGTAAATATAGTTAAAGGAGGTAGGTCTTAAAAAGGTTGCAAGGTAATCTAAAGAGTTTTGTTTCTGAAAAATGATTAGTACAAACACAAAATACAGGGTACTTATTTCTTTGCTGATAAGAAGTATGAAACAGATGATAATGTCAATAAGAGGACTTTTATTTTCAGATAAATTATTTATAAAATGAATCAAATTGTTCTGAAGATTAAGTAGTCAAACAAAATGACAATCTTCCATTGTTAGGAGATAAAATCTCAAAGGCATATTGCTAATTTAAAATGATAAAAGATAAAAAAATCAATCTGATGATATGGAATACAAATTTCAAGGGGCAAACTTCTAATATGGAAATATTTTAGTTTTTTAATCTTACCAACATCCTGCTCAATACAACTCTTGTCATCACAGCTTGAGATATGATGACTGATTTCGGCCCGAGGAACCTGGTGGCGAGCATTGAAGGGACAGGTGGCTAATTTGTTTGCGACATCAGGATGATTCTATAGAAACAAAATTAAGGCAGCTGTCAGTTCTTTGAATCTGTTAAAGCCCAAGAGAGTGGCTCAGCCTTATTCTACAAATGGTTCCCTCAAAAAAATGCGTAGTTTAATACATAGGCAAACTCAACTCACAGTAGAATGTTGACAGATAATTAATTATAGCTCCTGCAGAATGTTGTTTGTTGTTATGTGCCGTTGAGTCGCTTGCGACTCATAGCAACCCTATGTACAACAGCCCTAAATCCGCTCTGTCCTGTGTCAATCGCACTGTCTCTGACACTCCCATCCCAATTATCCCAGTCACTGAATCAATCCACCTCATAGAGGGCCTTCCTCTCCTGCGCTGTCCCTCCACCCTCCCAAGCATGATGTCCCTCTCCAAGGACCGGTCTCTCCTCACAACATGTCCAAAGTATGTTAGACGGAGCCTCAGAATCCTTGCCTCCAAGGAGCCACCCGGTTTAACCCTTTCCAGACAAATCTGTTTGTTTTCCTAGCAGTCCATGGATTCTCAATACTCTTCTCCAGCACCACAGCTCAAAGGCATCAATTCTCCTTCTATCCTCCTTGGTCACTGTCCAACTCTCTGATGCATAACAAGTGATTGCGAAGACCATGGCCTGTATCAGACGCACCTTAGTCTCCAGAGAGACACCATTGCTCTTCAGTACTTTGGAGAGGTCCCTAACAGCAGACTTTCCCATGGCAATGCGCCTTTTAATTTCCTGGCTGCTGGTGCCAAGACTGTTGACTAGCAAACTAAAGCTGTGTACAATCTCAATCTCTTCACCATCCATCCTGATGCTGCCAATTGGTCCAGTGGTGAGAATCTTTGTCTTCTTGACATTGAGCCTCAATCCATATTGTAGGCTGCAGTCCTTGACACTCTGCAGCAGGCGCTTCAGGTCCTCTTCAGTTTCAGCAAGCAGGGTTGTGTCATCCGCATAACGCAGGTTGTTGATAAATCGTCCACCAATCTTGACCCCACATTTCAGACATTATTCCAATAATATTTAAGTATTTTTGTTATGATTAGAGAGTGACAACACAAATACGAGGGTAAAACAAATTTATAAAAAGCTAAGTAGTAAAGTTAGGGTTGGGTATTTGAACCATACTTTCTTTTCCTGTTTATTTCTCAGGATCACGAGATACAGGAGGCTGTAATGCCAGAGCTCTCTAAACATCTCTGAAAGCTGATGTTCAAAATGAATAGTAATGATAAAACCTACTCTTAGACTACACTGCAGTATTGTTCCTGCTATTCCAACACAATAGTGCTGGGAACAAAGCTGTTAGAAGCAAGTCACGAAACAGCAAAAGATGCAAACCAATGATTTTTCAGATTAAAACACGAATGCATACTTAAAGTAATGGTGCTTGAAATAAAGCTCAAACCAATCTGACCTTTATTTTGGTATTTAACCAAGAAAAAACTTAAACAGTACTGTCTACTCTATTGATCAGGTATCTTCTTTTAAAGCAACCTCCCCCCCAATTTGCTATTGTCCAAATCTGATAGTAAACATACCACCACTTATTAAGAAATTTATTAGAAGTAGTAAAGATATATCATAGATGAATCTCAAAAAATTAAAAATTATGTGAAATGGAGAGAAAGCTGGGGGGAGACCCCTAGAATTAAGAAAACTGAGAGGGCAGGAAATCTCTTTGCAAAGGTTTTGTGGTCAAAGAATAATTAAAGAGTACTAAGAGAGCCGTTAGAGCACAATCTTCTTATGCTATTTGACTCCCTTTCCAAAGCTATCCTTGGGAAATGTTTGGGAGACTAGGGAAAGATGTTACAGTGATGTGTTTTCATCCCTCTGTCTAGGACTAACTTTAAGGGATTACAGCTCTATAGAGTAAAAAGAGGTAAAGAAATAATCAGCAAAGGGGAGTGGCATCCACTTCCGAAACAGCTTGTCTCTGGAAAACACTATGAACATGGAGAAACGACCAAAGTTATACAAGTGTTGAGGTCTTTCGTTCATAGGGTCGCGATGAGTTGTCCAAGACTTGACGGCACTTAACAACAACAGGCTTATATGAGAAACACTCTTTAAAAGATAATTAAATGTGAATGCTATGCTTTGGATTAAATACTAAAATTATTTTCCAATCATACATCCTCACAATTTTGGCCTCTGTATATATTATCAGTATTTCAGTAACTCTTTCAGAGTACCTTAATGTACCAGCATTAGTTTAATTCGTTAAATCTATAAAAGACCTGACAGAAAACCTGATGAGGCCTGCTTCCCCGCTTCCCCCCCCACCCTCAGCATGCTTATTACTGACATGTGAAGAAAGTTATCTTTAGGAATAATCTTTTCTTGGGCTGACCTTTAACTATTCAACCTAAAATTTCTAAAGAAAAATTCCAGAAATAAGTATGTTATAGTAATAATTTCTTAGATTTCAGGAAAATGAACATATCAATTCATAAGTCATGAGGGATTGATTTCTCATTGCTAGCAGAAATTTATGTTTCTTAGGTTTTACAGAGGATGTAAAGATTCCAGAGTGTTAGAAATGGTACTTTGTCACTAGATGGGGGATGGGTGGTAAAAAAAGCCAAAAGAAGAAAAAACCATACATTCCAAGGAATAAACAAACTCCTTTACACAAATGGTGACATTTAACAAAGAGGTAGGTTCCCAAAACAATTCTGGCATTCAATGAAAACATTTATGCTATGAGAATTCAATGTTTAGAAAGTCTAGCTTTTAAAGAGAACTCAGGAGGACATTAAAAGACGAATTATGAAAAAAAAAGACGAATTATGAAAATAATCCCCTACCTTTCTGCACTTGATAAGATGATAAGGAAACCGGCAGGCCCTGATCTGGTGGTTTTTATCATAGGGGCACTGTAAAAGCTTTTCAGGGTCCAGGGAATCAACTGAAAAGAGAAAAATCTGTAAGAATAAAAAAGAACAGGTCCATGCAAAACTACATTGTTACATTAGATTGTCCAACTGAATGAGAATAGAATAAGATAGTCTAGAGGTTCTGTTTTTTTTTTTTTTTTGAGGAGGACTAAACATTTAGAAAAGTTAACTCTAAGCTAAAATATGTTAATCAATCTTACTAAGCACAGGCAAGAGATGCGCTCTTAGTTCATATCTGGTTATAACATACCATTGTTTTTACTGTTAGTTAACTTCAGTGCATAAAAACGAAATTTAAATGTAATAACAACTTTTTGTGAAAATGTTAATTCAGGGTCATTTTTAGTCTTCAGCTAATTCAGTCAGAGCTTTTCAACCAGTGGGTTAAAAGCTTGGATGGACTGTAGACTTGCCAATAAATCAATGTGACACTTCTTTATACCTGCATATACTCTTTTCCTCAAATCTTAGGGCAAGTTGAGGCAGTTCATCTCCTCCACCAATATCCCTTACTATTTACTGCTCACCAAGTTGTGCCAAGAAATCTGGAGAACGACCACTTGGCCAACTGACTGGAAGAGATCGATATTTGTTCCTA